AAATAGTACTGTTTAATACCATTGGCTTCTCCCCTTAATTTAGCTTAATTAAGTTCTAGTAATGTTTTAGCCCATGCAGATGTAGTACGAATGGTATACAGTATTTAACTCAGATTTGATTCAATTATTCATTTGGATGTGATGTGTAAGTAAAATAGTTTTGTTGCCGTTGTGATACCAAAAAACCACAATCCATGTGCAAGCATTAATTACTACTTTCTAGCATTGATAGGTCAATTTTATACCATATTAGCGTAGTTTCATCCATATGGAACCAAAGAAAAAATGCTCTTGAAGATCAAATTTGAATAATGCATTCCGTGTATAAACAATAAAAGAAAACTTCATTTCTTCTCATAATCATTATCTTTCCTAGAAGCTTACTTTTTATTTGCTAGTCAACAATTACGCGGAATCTTTTTCTTATTATGAAACCTGTCCAGTTTTGTTGTTTATGGGTTTGAGGTACCCCTTGTACTCCGTTTATTAATAAATATTATACTTTGCTGTTCAAAAAAAAAAATTACGCGGAATCTTTTTCTTATTTGTTCTTAAAGTCTTAATAGGATTTCAAATATGTGTTTCGTGATAAATCCTTTTACTAATTAAAGATTGATATTTTCTAAGAAATCAACCCCTTAATTTCACGTCCCAAAATTAGCAAGCAATCCCAATCGAAAGTAGGGCTGGGGCAAAGGGTTGGTTAACCAAATTGGTAACCAAAAACTATTAAAAAATTAACCAAATGGTTAGATATAAATGGTTATTGATTTTTGTTTTTAGTTTTAGTTGGATAACCAAAAAAATTTGATCAGTTAAAGATTAGAGAGTTGAAAATCTGAAACTGAATATATAACCGAAAAGTAAAATTTTATATTAATAAATATTATAAGTAAATATAAAAACATTCTTATTTAATTTCATTTTTAAGTTTTACCTTATAAATTTTATTATAATTTAGTATTTAAATTTAAAATAGATTTAAAAGTAAAACAAAACACTCAAAATTTATATGTTACTCTCATTTATTTATCTTTTTTTTTAATTTGTTATATTTATATTTCTTAAAAATTTCAAATTTTGATTAAGTGTATTCATTATTGAACTTGAAGTATGCATCAATGTTGATTTGGTTATAACTGATAATCAAAATATTAAAACTGATTATTTTTATTACCCAACCAAAAAAATCCATGAAAAATTTGGTTTGGTTTTGGATGGTAAAATTGAAAAAAAAAAAAAGAAAAAAAAAAGGACAGTTGAAAATATGATTTTGGTTAAACCGAAACCAAACCGCGCCCAGGCTCAATTGAAAGGGTAAATAAAAACTAAAGTTCATATTGGAAAAATGCATAACCTTTTTGTAATTTAGCTAAAACAATAAGGACAACAAAGTCATATAGACGTATATAGGAAAAAATAAATAAAAGCCAAAGCAAAACCAAAATTAAAATACCTAATTTAGCATGATAAAAATTTGAAGCCAATAAGAAACCGACACGTAACAGATCCATTTTAAGGTTAGTGACGACGTTCCGATACGTCTGTATACAACTAGTATTGATTGAGTCTCGTAGAGAAGGAAAGCGTTAACCACTCTCTCACGCCATTCGTGTATGCACGCTCCTTGATCCTCTGGCTCTGGTTGTACTTCCAATGTGCCGAAATATTATATTTTTTTAGTGTACAAAAAATATACTTTTTTAACTTTAATTTACCCA